ATGAAGGGGTAAATTAAAATGTAAACATATAATTTAGCAAAACAGGTTCATGAGTTTACACTATAAAACAACAACATCCGATTAAATTAGCATGAAATCTACTTGCTGTAAATTCATACCATTAGAAACTCTAATCAAAATGATAGATTTTCCTAAACTTCAATAAATTCACTGAATCATATTATAGTCCTTTTAAAGGCTTGACAAACCGAGATTCTGATTTCAAAGGATACTCTTCGCTAATATATGCTTTTAAGGAATCTGTTTGTTTCATCCCCAAAGGTTAAAATATGTCTTCTGTTCCTAAGACAATCTAATATCCAAATAACATCATGGCAGTTATCCTTCAAGATTAGTGATCATAACAGAGATTTATCTTATGTTATTCCAGAAACCTTACTAACTTTTGAATATTACTTAAACTTTATAATCCACTATTCCTATTTATGATATAGAGATTAGAAATAAAAAAGATATTGAGTAATTGCATTATCAAATTCAAAGTTTTTTTCCTGAAAATTTTTTATGTTAAATTAGCTAATCACTGTTATTCTATAATCATTAATTGCAAGTCCATTCACTATTCCATCTGAACATTTAATTTTTAGTGTAAAATCCAATTATATTTTTTTATTAATTTTTTCTGTGACAGCCAAAATTTCTAAAGGTAATCAATTAATAAGTTAGAATATCAAATATTTCAGATATTAAAATTATTTTTTGGATATTTCGAAAAGAATCCTTTAAATTTACATATAAAGTCCTTTCATAATTTTTAAAACATAAAAATCCTTTGTTTATTACATTAAATGATCTAAATGTACTCTGATCATAAATTATATATCCCTATGAAATCTATTGTAGAGTTAACAATATCATTTAGAACGAATGATTTTTATAATTAATTTTATTAAAAATCATAAATCCTTACTCTCACTATAATGAATTAATATTTTGGATATTTATTATATGAGTTTTGAGAATCTATTATATTTAATGCTTTGTATTAAATCTAAATGGAGATGTATAATTAGCAGGAATTGTATTATCAACACTTTGTATGGTACTGTGAATTAAGTTACTTGTGATGGAACAGATTATTGTGGATGGAGTTCAATCTGTTTCTTGAATACTAGATGATCATTAACGAAGACTAAACCAAAGTGTTAAAATAAATGATAGACCATGAAAATGAGAATCAAGTTCATGCACAAACAACAAATGCAATGATATTTTATCAACTGATGATAAAACAAGCACTAAATTACTAAGAATGTGTTACTAATATTAAGAAATGAATTGATGATACTAATTGCGATGCTTAATTTAAGGGAACTTAATAAACAAACTATACTTCTAAGCCAAATGCAAAATAGATATTAATGCAACTAAAACAAAAGCTTGTAAATAAAAATCCTGTGATAATATAAACAACATAATGTTCAATTTATACAAGTGCTCCAGAATGATGCTATAAATTGAAAGGAAAAGTTTACGAAATGTTGAAATATATATGCTACTGGTGCTTGTGCTGTAAAAAAATCTATACTTAAGCAACTGGTATGTTAAGATAAAACATCTTGGGATAATTTGACAGAATGTTTATATGATGGTAATGGAAGTTTTATAGATAAAAATGTTCTGTGCATATCTTATACAGATTGCAGATTTAAACTTGGAATACAAAGTGTAACTACTTATCGTGGAGATATATATTGGTACTGAGGATACTATAAATAGAGCTATGATTATTAACTTACTAAAAAATCATGTAATTTATGTAGATATAATACTTTTTACAGGTTGATGTTCAGCTAGGGCATGTAATCTTTGTGAGAATTCCTTAACAAGTACCTTATGTGAAAATTAATTTCATGTAAATTAATGGAGCAAACTATTGTTAAACTCCTTAAATCTAATGCTCCTAATTCTCAATTCAAACTGGTGTTATAGATAAACTTACATATTGTAATGGAATTTGTATCCAAAACCTTTAATATAAAAAGTTTTAAATTTTGTTTCTTAGAAGTCTTAACGTTGACATACATTGAATCACTGTATCTTTTACTTTGACATGTTTAGAGCAAGGAGTACCTCAATAATAATCTTAAGATTATTTTATACTACAAATTTTGAAGTTTTCATCACCTAAAATTTCTCTAAAATTAATACTGGTACTTCAATCTTAGCATTAACATAAAAATTTGTTTTTTTAACAAAACTAACTATAAATTTAGTAATTAGACAAGGACCTTTTTGAAAATAATAAATACAATATAAAACTTCTTAATTTAATAACAAATAGTTTTTAGCAATAAATTGTAGAATTACACTTTAAATAATTTTATTTTGTAAAGTCAGATTTTATCCAATTCTAAGTTGAAGTTAGATTAATCATAACCTCTTTGATTAATTTTCTTAAATAATTTCTTTTTTAAAAGGGTCTTTAATTTATTTTTGTTAATTTCATTTCATAAATCCCCAAAATAATTCTATATTTATCAAAAAAATTTAAGTATTGCTTATCTCATTAAAACATGGATTTAAGGCAAGGTAAAAAATTAATTATTAAGTGTATTGGATAATTTTCTTGATGATATTGTTTAGATTTTGTTTAAAGATAAAGCCTAATTAAATATTTTTAAGTTTTATGAATATTTTTAATTTATATTTGATGATTGTGACTCATATCATTGTCCAACACCATAACTTATTAGTTAAAGATTTTTGGTCATAACTTTAAAATATTGCTAAAATAATAATATATTTTACCCAAATTTTTTTTAAATTAAAAGAAGTTCACAAATAAGTGGAATTACTTTATGTGTTTTTAGAAACATAATATATTTAATCAAATATTTTTTTAATCAATTATATATCTCTATTGGAAATAATATTGATTTGAAGAAAATTTAAGAATATTATGTAATACTTAATAAATGAATAAAATTAAATGATTTATTTTTAAGAACACCAAGAAATAAATAAACTATTTGAGAATGATTGAAAAGGCAAACTATAAGATTTCTTTATTTTATTACTTTACATCACAATATATGTTATTTCATTTTTAAGACTTATGTTTATTTAATAAAGTATACTCCATTGAAGAATTGTTGGTTAATAACAAAAAAAGTTGTTAATTATTATCATCATTGGAAAATACAAGAACATTGTTAAGATTATTATGAAACTTCATTTATCTTGGCAAGTTGAAAATAAGTATCATAACAAATGTGATTTTGTTGAGGATATGTGATAATTATTGAAAATAATTATAATATATTGTAATAATATTATAATCCAGTTTGTATCTTTTGTTGAATAATCAAATTAGTTTTATAAATGCAAATAAATTTAGATTGCTTTATAATGAAAAAGGGATATTTTAAGTGATTAGCACTTATTTTTATTTAATGATTTCTTATGAAATAGAGCCATATTCAATTTAATATTCATATATACTATTAGATATATGGAATTTATGATTAGAAGTGTTATTATATATTTTGATCTACAATACAAGATGTTGAAGAATAAATTTAATTGATATCTGTTACATTCCTCACACAATAAACTATGAATATTAATTTTCAATAATTTTTCAAACATAAAAACTCTAAATCACAACTAACATGAAAATTAATTTATTTTTGTTAGACGCCAGATGATTAAGATACTTAGTAGCCTAAATAAAACTTGTTTTACTCTAATATTTATGGTAATTCATTTAGTTAATTTTGGGATTCAAAGGGAATATATTCTGTAATTGGTAAATTTTTTTGTTTTTCCTCAACTCTAATACTTCCAACTCATATATCTGAAAGAATTACTTTTGACAATTGGTAGTAATTTAATTATTTAAATTTGATAGGATGGATAGTGCGCTTATCAAATATTCAATTGACAACTAAACTATAGTATCATACTTGGGTGACCAAGGTTAAAATAATTGTGATTCTTCTAGATAAGATTATAGACAATATATACACCAAAAAATTACACTTTCATCTCTTATTTTGTTTATGAAATCAATTTTAAATATTTCTTTACAATATATATATTACTTTTATAAATTTAGGAATTATGGGATTTAAGAATTTTAAAAAGAATTTATAGAAACTACTGAAGGTTTACATTTTGCCAAAATTAAATATCTCCGATCGATCATATAATTATAAGTCTCATATAAGCCAGTCACTTATTAATCTGATATGAGGTAGATTAGAAAAATAAACCACTTTTTTACAGAAAATGAGCTAAATAAAAGATCGCAAGAGGAATTGAGACACTTTAAAGAGGACAAAGTTTAGACTCATTTCAAATTTACTTCTTTACTTTAAGCTTCAAATAGTTGTCAAATTTTTGGGAACTAGTATTGGATTAATTAATTATTAAATTAGGATGTAGATACTCTAGGAAATATACTTTACAAAAAACTAATATTAAAAATCAACATATCTGTTATTTATTATATGTCCAAGACAATAATAAATTCATTCAAATTTTATTATATTCAAGAATTTATTATGGAATTTCTCAAGGAAAGCAATAAAAAGCTACAGATTATATTTTTATCATTAAAGTAAAAAATTTCTTATATTAATCAAAAGATTTATCATTCATTAAACAAGAAGGAAGCAATAATAAATAATTATAATTAAAATATAGTATAAAATCAATGTAATCAATCCAATCTTAAACATAACCCATTATCCAATAGACAATAGCTAAAATTGAAGAGCACTTCTTTAAATTAGATCAAGGTGTATAAGTAATTTATTCTTCCATAATTTTATAGTCTGCTTTCACAAAGATTGATGAATCATTAGATTCAATTCTTCTTATCCCATTTAAATTTGAGAATCCTCAACTATAATTCTAATTTAAAATACCATAATATGTTCAATTATTTGAATCTGATTTTAAATTCCCATAGCAAATAATTGAAAGCATAAGCCCTTTGATTAATTAAACTATCTAAAATAACATTAAAAAAAAACAAAAAAAGTTAAATCAATCAGAAGATTCAAAAATAAATAAAAATGAAGAGGAGTATATAAATAAACAAAAAAATGTTGTGGAAGAAGCTATTGATTCCTCGCAACTAAAAATTATGCAATATGAAAAGCTTTTGATAGAAGGAAATTAAGAAAATTAAAGTAAGAAATAATAGGAAGTGATCTAACTAGATATATAATAGAATTAATAGAAATAATTATTAATGATAGATAAACAAGTTGAAATTAAGTTAATTGATGATTCTAATTAATAGATTGGTTATTGTTAAGCAATAGTTTTTGATAAAACAGGATAAATCATGATTTCATGTGATAATGAGAATATTAAAATTTGGAATTTTGAATAAGGAAGATTAAAATTAATTAATACATATTACAAACATAAAAAGGCTGTTACATGTTTGGTGTATAGCAAATTAAGAAATAACTTTATATCTGGATCTAATGATAATACTATCATCTGTTGGCAATAAATGGATCAAAAAGATTGGAAGTGTTCATAGCCATTCTAATAACATAATCATTATGTTCATTGTTTAATGTTAAATCAACAAGAGGATCACCTTATTTCAGGAGGTCACGATAAATAAATAAAAGTTTGGAATGTAGATTTTATTAAGAATGAGTTGAAATTTTAGTACTCATTAGATAACCATAGTAATAGTATAGATTCATTCAGTTTTAATTCCTCTGAAACTGTATTGGTATCTTGTGGATATTCTCATTTTATCATATGGGAAAAAGGAGTATAAGGAAAATGGGAATTTAAATATAAAAAAGATGTTTCAGAAGATGGACTTAAAGTACATCTAATAAATGATCAACAATTTCTTTGGGTAACTTTGGGTCAGAATGTTGATGATATTTTGGTATTTGAAATATAAAACGGAGTCTTTTAATAAAATATTAATAAAACTATCAAATTAACTAAGAATGATGAATGTGAAGATGATTTACATTTCCCAATTATTCACAATAAAGCCTAAAATATAATATTGGTAAGGCATAAACATCATATCTATTTGATTAGGGAATTAAATGATGACACATTTAAAATAATGGCATCATTAAATTGTGAAAATCATGAGATTTATGGAACTATGACCAATAATGGATAATATTTAGTATTTTGGGATAACAAATATGAAAAGTATTAATCATATGAGATAATTAATAAATGAATAATATATCTAAAAAAGAATATATTGAGATAATTTCTTATTTATAATTCAATAAATTTACAGTTATTTTACTTATGATTTTACCAAAAATACCACTTCGCATCTATTAAATTCATTCTGTTTAAAATTATATGGTGGAAATTATGAATGATGTTTAAAATATTTCAAAGTACAAGAAGAATTATCTTTAAAAGATTTATAACTTAATAATAAAATATACATTTAAAAAAAATTATAATTACATTTTCTAAATTTTTGGAGATAAATTAGGATTTCATTTAGACCAAACTAAAACATTTTTAAGTAAATTCATAGCAATTGAATTTTTTACTTTTTATAGGGTGCCTTCATATGAATTAAGTTTAAATATTATATCTTTAGGGAAAAAAATTTGTGATTTAGGCTAATATAATTTAAATTGTTTTGAAAACTCTACTAAAAAATACATTTGGAAGCTGAAGGAGGGAGAAAAAAAGTTACTAGAATTTAGAAGTTTGAAAAGAAGAGAATTAAAAAAAATAAAATAAATTTATAAGCATTTTAATAGGATGAGTCAGAAAAATTATCCTTTATGGAAAAAATTAGTTTCAATGATATTATTTAATAGATGAATAAAATCTCAAGAGCTTAATTACTCCTTCCATATTTTTGAATCAAACATGAAATTATGTATCCTCATCTTCATATCAAATATTACTTATGAAATTTTTCTTACAAATTTACTCTTTTAATTATTTGAACTATCTTAGTTGATCCTTCTCTTAAAGATGCTACAATAAAAGCTCTGCTTAAACTCATTTTTTAATCTCATTTGCAATATTTTTAGAGGAGTAACCTCCTTAAAATGTATATACATGCTTATTTTAAATCATTTTCTCTAATCACGATATTTATCTTTTAAAATATTAATTTTAAGATTAATAAATTTCTGTTAAAATAAAAATGTTTATTCATTTTTGTATTTTTTTCAACATTTTTAGATCTTGATACAGAGAGAAAATTTTCGAAGCTCATTTGCTACAGTATTCTTTTTATAGAATGAAGATATTTTAATTTGATATTATTTAAATGACTCAAAAATACAAATTTAAGGCTAATTCCTTTACAAACAGTTAAATTTTACATTCATTTTAGTTATTACTATAAAAAAGTATATCTTTTATTCAATAAAATCTTATCAATAAAAAATTTAATTTCTAAGTTGTTCTAATCTTTTGTCTTGATATTTCATTATAGAAAACAAGAGAAGTCCTTCAAGTATAAAACCAAATTATCATAGTATCAAGATGCAATACTGATCATTCTAAGCTACCTATGGATAATTAAATTATTTATGGTAGGATAAAATTGATAAGATATATCATTTTAAGAAAGGAAAGAATTTAGATGGTGAAAATTTGTTCAAATGTCAGATATAGAGTTGATAATGATTGAGAACCGATATTATACAATTAAATTGAAAATCAATGTGTTATCGATAATCAGTTTATGGAGTTGAGGCATCCTAAAATAAAAAAAAAAGATAATTAAATGAAATTTGTAACTAGATTATCTTAAAAAAAGATGAGATTGGGATAAAAAGGAAATAAAGAAGTTTTAGGAATCTTTAGGAATTTATTCGATATTCAGAAATGCAGTATGGTAGGTAAACCATCTTACCAAAAGAAGATTAAATCTACCAATATAATTGAAAAAGAGATTATTATGAAGAAGTTCACTATTGGAATTTATCTAGTTATGTACTAAAAAGTACTTAATCTAGTTCTTCTCATATTGTAGCACTATTTCAATGAGGTTGAATCAGCATGAAAAACAAAAAGCTTTATGGTTTTGGGAGAGAGGTTATTAATGGATAAATAACACTAGTTATGGTTCTAAGAATAGTTAAAGCACATTAGAAGAGGAGATAAATATTATTTGACCAATGTATTATTTCTTATAAGATTGCCTATATAACTTGATTTGGAATAAATATTTTCAATAAGTTTGACCGATAAGTTAGTAGATGCGAAATAAGCATATCCTGAAAAGATGATGAATAAGAAGACTTTTTATCAAATCACTTCATTTAAAAGGATTCATCTTTGCATATTAATTCAGTGATTTTAAATAATCTACAAACTGATTAATTCTAATTTATTATAAAGGAATTATAATCTACCCAGATGAGATTGTCCTTAGTGCCTTACTCGTTATCTAAGGGAATAGGAGAGTCTAGCTAATTTAATGGTTTTGAATCGATGTAAAATACTTGAAAGATTCTTATAAAAAGTTTAATAGGTCTATCTAACCTATATAGATATGAATTGAAAATTACATAACCTTGATGAAAATGTGAACCAGAAATTTCTTCATATATAATACTATTAATATATTAAATTTAAATTTAATTCCAATTATAATTATATTAAAAAGTCATTGATTTCATCTACTGATCTATAATAATAATGTTCTATTAATATGACTCTCAAATTTTTGTTCCATAATTAATTATATATTATTTGAAAATACATTACTTAATTTATGTTCAAATTAAAATATATATTCAATAATATAAATAAAGATGTCAACTAAGTAATAGTTAACTTTTCAAATACTTTTAATTGGCTCTACTATGTAACTTTTTATAATTATTTTTATATAGGGTAGGCAAAACATCTATACTAAAATAATACTTTGATTCTAATATTAATAATATATAATCTACAATAGGAATTGATTTAAGAAAAAAGAATGTAATTATTAACAATCAAACTGTCACTCTTTAAGTAAAAATTTATATTAATTTTAGTTTTGGGATATAGATGGTCATGAAAATCATTAACCACGTTGTATTTTTTAAAAAAAAGATTGTTGCATCATAGTCTATAATAATGAGGATGAAGAGCCTATTAAAACTTTGGATTATTGGAAAAACTTATATTTAGAATCAATAGACTCAAAAGATTCAGAAAATGTTCCTATTTTTGTCATTTAGAATAATTTTGTTGAGAATAATGAAATAATAAAAAGTCAACTTGTTGAATGGTGGTGTAAATAAAATAGAGTTAAATAATTGTTCGAAGTATCTGTAAAAGACAATTTGGTTATTAATGAAACATTCATAGAGATTGCAAAGATCTTATTCAAATAAAAATAAAATATAATGAGCAAGGCCAATCATGTAATAAATTAAATAGATGATTCACCGAATGTATTATCATCTGAATATACAATTGTGAAATCATAATTAAAATGCAATATGTAAGAAAAAATAATTCTATTAAATGTTATAATCAGCATGATAGCCCACCAATCATAGTACTACTTGATGATAATCTTAAAGGTATTTAAAGATTAATTTGTTCTTAATGCATAAATGATATAAGAGGAAAATTTAATGGAATTAATATTGATGAAGCTATTTTAACAATTGAAGACAGGAAGAATAATTTCCTTAATCAAATATCGGATTTTAATCAAAAAATTATAAACAGTTTAAATTATTACATTGGCAAAATTGTGTAAAATAAAATGAAATTATATAAACAATGGATTAAATGATAAGTTAAGTTAATAATTGGATAGATGATATATAATAATTTGAGTTTAAGTAATGCTCTTACAATTTCTTAGATGAAATAGATTACTTAAATCAGTCTATTGAAAAAATAAAAGATCAATAAATTGATGAATTTAAAAAAGTTATTTACTCTATTAACTAATCTTATGAAACAAAAATCTAGCTTAAAAAATAATTATTAAATGTGTAATTACTTAGTGCTTAAAATACTTTAAGATTACAATCATCTAATGTTTCATTTAAGCGATTAAATTCAGAAGTAGCAAAAGATTATCTAGAAACAAAAACATATAAATAAATATAATACAAATTAGTTTAAGAAGTTAAACAAAAAGAATGGTGCCATGCATTAGCATTTAATTATAATTAATCCATAATGGCGGGTAGTTTTGATAAAAGTATTAAAATATGGAATTTTTAATAAGGATAATTGTAGGATAAAAATATAATCTTAGATGGTCATGAAAAGCTTATAAAATGTATAGTATTCAGTAGAAAAAATAATTGGTTTTTCTCTGGAAGTGAAGATCACACAATTAGAAGCTGGAAAGAAAAATAGAGTTGGTTTTTTTCTAGTAAATGGGAGAGTGTTAAAGCTAATAAAGCACATTCAAACTAGGTAATTTAATTAATATTAAATGAATAAGTAAATGAATTGATATCATGTAGTGTAGATAAGACAATTAAAATTTGGAGAGTTTTTTATGATTCAAATTCAATAAAATTTTTAGATTCTCTTGAAAAACATTAACAATAAATATTATCAATTAGTTTAAATTAATCTCAAAAATAATTAATTTCTTGGGGTGAAGACAAATAAGTAATTTTATGGGAGAAGAATTAATAATTCAAATGGTAATTTAAAAATATCATCCTTTTATCAATTCAAGAAATAAATAGAGGGGCTAGATTTCTTATGGATAATTAGATTATATGTAAAACATCTTAAGGATAGGTACAAAATTATGTATAAGAAAATTATATATATCAACAAAAGTAAGTATTAGATTTTAATCTTGAAAATCCTGATTTGAATCCAAAAGAATTTTAAATAATTTTTAATATTTAAACTTAATTAATAGTAATGAAACATCATTAATATTTCTATTTTTTTAGAAATAATGTAGATGATTGGAAATTTTAATAAGTATGTTAACCTTTAGAATGTCAAAAAGAAGTTTTTTTTTTTAATATCTCAAATGATGGAAAATATTTAATTGTGTGGATTTAGCATCCTTTATTAAGATTTAGAGTATATGAGTTGATATATAGTAATATGTATTGATGATAGTAAAATGATATTTATATTTAAATATTTGTATTCAAAACTTCTGAATAGACATAAAAATCAAAGTATTTTATGATTAATAGAAATTAATTTAATTTATCAACTTTAATCTACGAATTCAATTATACCCTTGAGTTTTAATCTATATACATTTTTTTTTGGAAAGAACTAAATAAAGGTTAGTAATTTTCAACACTTGTTCTTGAAAGCTTCGTATTGTTTTTATTTAGATTAATTGCAATGTTAACAAATTGAAATGCTTTTTACTATCTATTAATTTTCAGTATGACAATTAAAACTCTTTTTCTGTTAATTTATTTCCTATATATATTCATCTCTATTGTAATGAACTTTATCATTGTGATTATTGAATTCTAGTGCCATCTCATAGTTATTGAGAAAAATAACCTTTATTAGATTATACTAAATCATTAACTGGATTTAAATTTATTGCTGTCTATATTTAAAAAAGATCTTTTTCAAATTTGCCTAAATTATTAATATACCTGTAAGAGACATCTTTAAAATTAATAAAGCTCCTGCAATTTTGTAAGCTATTTTAGAGGTTGAATTGATTAATACGGTTAACTCAAAATATTATATGGCCTCTAATGCTATAATCTTTCAATAATGAAAGCTTAATACTGTAATCAAATCTACCTTTAGCTTTACTCAAATAATATTAGTGGTTATCATCTCCTGCCAAAAGCAATGAGTTAGTTTTCTATTTTAAAACATTCTTGTGTAGTATTTCAAAGAGTTAGAACAATTTAATATGATGGTGTTTTCAGTTTTATTAAATTATATATTTGAAAAGAATTCACATTTATTAATAATACATTCTCTTCGACCTTAGAATAATATTTTCTAAGGAAGCCTAGATCAATTTTAATATTAGATAATCTCGTTTTAGGATATTCCATTCAAATTTAACAATTTTTTGAAGATCTTCTAAGGTTAATTTGTTGACTAACAATATTTGTAAAGTTTTCTCAATTTATGAAATTATTAAAAAAAATTGTTCTGTTTGAATATCATATTTATCATAACCAAATACAATAAGAACTATGATTTTATTATTGATTTTTTAAACATTTCAATAAAAATTGAGGAGGAAATAAACAATATTAACACAAAATTCGAAAATGGCTTTCATAAAGACAATGAATGAAACTCAATCATTTTTTTTGCAATTTAATTATTATTAATTTTCATTAAATAAACATAAATAATAAAATGTTTGCTAAATAATTCATAAATCAATAATTGTTATTAATGTTAATATAAAAACAATACAATAAAGAAAAATCCTTATAAAAAGTTAATAAAATGTTTTATTGATTCATTAGATTGTGATATCTATTAGACATTATAAATAAAATATTATTAAATGTAGGCAACTATTTAAAATTCTAATTTAAATCTAAAGTATTAAATAAGTAAATGTTCTATAGTAGTTTTACTACTTTAAAAGATCTTTGTGCTGAAAATAATGTATAGTAATCTAATACATGAATGATTAAATAGAACTAAATATATTTTTATAATGACGAAGATTCCATTTCATGAGATATAATTCATTCGGTTATATATTATTTTAAAAATATTAGGTTATCCAATTATTCTGATAATTAAAAAGAACAATATCCTTTAATTATTTTAATATAATAACTAGATTTTTTTATGGATCTTCTGGCTTTTCAATACCATGTTCTTTCAAAATTAGTGTGTTAATCAAGTGATATATAAAGTTGAGAATAGGTTAAATTCAGAGGAGTGAGCCATAAATTTGAAAAAACTCCTGGAATAGATTAAGTTCGAAAATAAATTGAAATAATTTATAAATTAAAAGGTATTTCAGGTATCTCCAGCATAAATATTAAATGGATTCACCCAGATATAAGTATCTAATAAATATAAAATTAAGATCGTTTCTTATTATTCCATAATTACATAGTAACTTAGATGAAATAGCCAAACATAATATAATTATCTTTATCTTTAATATTAAGGATCGGGTTGAGGATTACTGAAATTTTGTAAAAAGTTCGTTTTTTGAATATATTTCACTTCTAACCTTTAGTAAATGATTCAAAAATATTGCATCCTGAAATTATTCAACTCATTGATTTTAGATTATCATAAGAATTTATTAGAAATTCAAAATTATTGAAATATTTGTTTATTGGGTCATGAAATTTGCCAGTAGATAATTGCTGAAATTAGAATAGTGAGACTATAAAGATGATTCAGGAAATCTCTTGTATGTTTTGTTTAATTAAGGAATTGTAAGAATATTCTTTATCCTTAGTAAAATTGTATGATTCCAAATACCATCTTGAGATTATAGATAAGTGGATATTATGGTCATTGTGAGGATTAAATCCTTCAATTTAAAAGTGCTTCCTAAATTTAGAATTTCCCTGTTAGAAATAACTTCTTACATATAGCATGACACAATGCAAGATTATGGATATTTTAAAAGCTTGTTTATGAAAATGATAAAAAATGAGTAGTGTTCTATTTTCTAAATATATTAAGGATTGTAATCTTAGAATAAAATAGAAATTTCAAATTTAATAGAAAATTTCTGCTGAGGATAATCAAATTACAAAACTAATTGGTAAATATGTGACCATTTCAATTAAATCAATAAGTGACTGGAAATCTTGAGATTATTATTATTCTTAAATTATATATCAATTTTATAATTATGTTATTATATATTTAAACATAATTCAACATTTATATTATAACTTAAATTGTAATTTAGTAATTAGAATTTGAAATCAGTTTAATTAATTGTCTTATGTTTAATAATAAATTTGAGTAAGATTTATTTATTTCATATAAGAACATAAATAGGACGAAACTGCACTTAATTAATATATTTAAAATTTAATATTTAGGATTATTATTTTAATTAAATACATCATCAAAATAGATTTTCTAAAAAAATATTATTGAAGCTTTTCAACATGTAATTATTATTAACAGGATGACCACAATAATATTGCAGAATAACTATTGTTTAAAGATCCACTTTAAATTAGTATATTTAAATCGCCTTAGATATATTAAGATATTTTTTTAAACAAATTTATATTTAAATAATTATGTTAAATTTTAGTAATTTTGTTTGAGGAATTTACATCCCAACTCTTTGGTATCATAATATTTAAACAAATACTGTAGTTGATTTTGTTCTATAGCTATTTTTGTATTTTCTATTTAACAATTAATTGCTTGAATTGTTTCAATCTATATAGAGGACTCAAGTTCTTTATTTAATTGTTTTAATACATTATTGGCATCTTATTATTATGTTAACAATGAAATAGTAAAATTATAAAAAATGACTTTACCATAATTTGATAATATGATGAAGTAATTTTCAGTTGATGAAAAACAGTCACTTGATATATCTTACATTAAAATTATCTAATACACACCTTAATATTTTAATCCATTTGTCAAAATAACTTAATTTTTTAATACTCTTCTTAAATTAATAAGTATTTTCCAAAATATTAAAAGAATCTATCCATAACTTTGACTAAACCATCTATTTCTTGTATTTATTTAAGATTTTGTAAATTAGAAATATCAATTATTTTAATCAATCATATTGTGATTGTTGAAGTTTTATTTTAAAGCTGTTGTTTATATAATGAAGAAACATAATTATAACTAAAATGTTTGGAAATCAACTAAGTTTTCTAAATTAAATTGCATTATGAAATAGAATTACTTTAAAAAAGAGATTATATAGTATTTTAGAAAAAGATTTATAATAAATTAAATTTAGCTTACTCATTCAAAATAATACTAAAGTTTAATTGATGTAGAAGTTTAATTAAGTTAGAGCAATCAATTGAACTATTGAAATAATATTAGTAGAAAAAAGTCAAAATATATATGAAAAGATACATAAATTAAATAGATATAATTAGTTTTTTTCAATAAAATATTTATGGGCTTCTAATAGGAAAAATAAAAAGGTTAAGGCGTAAAATAAATTTTTATTAGAATTAGGATAAATTAAATAGTAACGTGAATGAATATTAATTAGATATAAAATATAAAATATGATTTAGTAATTGAATTTAAAGTTAAAATGTTAAAAGGATGATCATTAGGATGAGATAGACATAGTTTGTTACAATTAATTTTGTACAGAATTTAGATTAAATTGCTTTTAATGTTAAAAAAAAGGAAGAACCCATCATGATCATTTTGATGATGTTGAAAAAATTAATAGTTTGATAGAATTCATTGAAAATAAAAATAAAGAATGTGATAATTTGATTGATGATCTTAATAAATAAGCAGAAAGTATGAATCAATCATTTTCTTAATTAAAAATGGGAATCAGATAGAAATATTAATTATATTAAGAAAGATTAGTACTTCTGAATTCTTAATAAATTAATGATTTCTTGAATTCTACAATCAAATTTAATGAATATAAACAATCAATTACAACAATCATTTTAGAATAGACTAAGAAATTAACTCATTCATTTAATAATTTATATCAATAATTACAATTATCATCATTTAATTATTATTAAAATGATGATAATTGTATTAAAATATCTGAAGAATTATATGATAAAGGCATTAATTATGTTATTATTATAATTTTTTAGGTTATTAATTATATTTGGAAGATAAGTATGAATAGGCCATTGTAATATTAGATAAATCAATATAATACAATCCCAATAACTATAATTCTTTATGGTGTAAAGGTAAAAATAATAAATAATGAATAGGTGATTGTTTAAAATTACTAAATTAATATGAAGAAGGAATCTCATGGTTAGACCAATCATTAGCTATTGATCCTAAAAATGCTGATACCTTATTTATGAAAGGTATAATGAATCATAATTTAATTAATAGGTGATTGTTTAAGATTATTAAATAAAAATGAAGAAGCAATCAAATGGTTGGATAAAGCATTAACTATTGATTCTAAGCATGTTGATTCCTTATGTATTAAAGGTGTATTGAATCATAATTTAATTAATAGGTTAATGTTTAAGATTGTTAAATAAAAATGAAGAAGCAATCAAATGGTTGGATAAAGCATTAGCTATTAATCCTAAGCATGTTAATTCCTTATTTATGATAGGTATAATGAATCATAATGTAATTAATAGGTGAATGTTTAAGACTATTGAAAAAATATAATGAATCTTTATAATTTCTAGATTAAGCACTATCAATTGATTAGCAACATACCCTTTCTCTGTAAGCTAAAGGTACCTAATATTTGTTATTTGTAGGAGATTGTTTAATGGATTAATAAAAATATTAAGAAGCTTTGATATATTATGAAAAATCATTAAAGATAGACCCATATGATCAAAATACAAAAAACTAAAAGAGTATATTTAACTTATTAGATTAGATTTTTGTGAAAAGAAATTGAAACAATGAATAAATGAAGTGATTAATGTAATTTAATAAATAGTATTCATATATTATTACTTATTTTATTTATATTTTAATATGTTTGAAATTGATCTCATTTTTATTAATTTATTTCTCATATTCAGCTATAGATAT